TCCGATTCCTGCCCTATTTTATCACCGTCAGATCCGGGCAGGATTCCATTGCCATTGGATTTTAAAATCTTCATCCAACGGTCAGGGTAGAGGATGTCCGTTCCTTTAAATACCCTCTACGAACTCGAGAGCCATTTTTTCAAAACTTCAAACTCTCTTTGCACCTATTGTTGGACTGCCGCCTTCTTCGTCGGAATCCTTCCTCTCCAACCTTTGGTTCGTGCTTCTTACTCTTCGAGGCGTATCGCGAAGCCGTTCTTTCTTCAAGACTTTCCCGGGAATCCTTCTTCACCGGTAAGCCTTTCCATCCTCTGTCTGCTTTTCTTACTCACGGGCTGCTCCTCTCCTTTTTGTTTGAACCATGTGTATATGTATAAAAAATGTGCGGAATGTAGAAGTTAGGGAGACTTACTCCGTTTTGTTTTTCCGTATTGGATAGTTCTGTCCCCATCTCTTTGTTGTCTGCGCGCTTCTGGTTTCTGGGTTCTGGGGAACCTGGAATTCTATGAGCACTCGCCGTTACCATTCTCAAATGAATGGTCGACGTTAAGTCGAGGCGTTTGCGTAGTCGTCACTTAGAATAGCCATCCTTTCTTCTTCTCGACGTTAGGGTTTTAACTTAGCTTCTTGTCTTTTTAATCACCAGAACAATGGCCCAAAGCTCCCCCAGTCGAGAGGATTCCCCTGTCGTCCGTCCAGACCCCCCTTATGTGGTGGAGATCTCATGGTCTTCTTCGTCTTCCAGCGTCGACTCCGTGCTGAGAGACATAGAAGACGTCGGGGCTGGATATGAAGCCAGATACGTACCAGGTGACAGCTTTGGTAGTGAATTTGACAACCTAGAGCGGATATTGGATGAGGCAGTAGAACGGATCCCCTTCACAGGGGGCAGTGTAGGCGAGGTGGCTGCCTCGACGGTAGGTGCCCCCCTGGCTGCCACGAGTGGTGAGCCGGATAGGCCTTTCTTCACAGCTGACGTTGCGGCGTCGAGGGTCCGGAACAAAGATATCATCCGGGCTGTGAAGGAAGGATGCATCGACGGGAGGTGGTTCGAATACCTTCTCCCGGACATGCATTTTAGAACCAGCATGCCGCCGACCGGATACCTTCCGGTCTATATTAGAGCGGTTACGGCTTTCTTCACAGCCGACGTTGTGGCGTCGAGGATGACCCTCCCAGTTCATCCCTTTGTAAAGGACTACTGCCATTTTTATGGCATTTCCCCCGCTCAGCTGGCGCCGAACTTCTGGTACTGCTTCGCCGGTGCCTGGATTTTATGGCACCAGTAATTCGATATGGAACTCCCTTTGGATGAGTTCCGATTTATGTATAAGCTATGCCACGTCGCCAAGTGTGAGGGGTGGTATTTTTTGAGTGATCACGGGAGGTCTCAGCCCAGATTCGAGAAGCTTATACTGGGTATTCCCTCGACATCACACGGGTGGAAGCCCATGTTCTTCATGATTCGGGGGCCTTTCAACTTTCATCCCAACGACTGCCTGCCCCGTCGAAGGCAGGTGCAGGCGGCGTTTGGGAATATGGGTAAGTCTCTTGGCTTTCTTTTATCTGACTTTGCTTTTTCCGTCCTTCCTCTGACATTCCTTTCGTATTACAGTCAGTCAGGACCGGTCGAAGTTCTTTAGGAACAGCTTGGCGAGGATTGAGAAGGCTTTTTCGTTCTCGTCCGAGGTTCGCCATATAGATACCCTCCTGACCCAGGCCAACCTTCGCGCCGCCGATTTAATCCTTGATCTCCCTAGCCCTTCGGACCTAGACGTCATACGTGCATTCTTCCACCTAAGCGACGAGGGTAATTCCTGCTTTCGACGCCTTCCCTTATTACGATTCTTGTGTTTCAAACGCTGATTATATCTTTGTCTCGTCATTTCCGCAGAGATGGCGTCACTGTGAATTCAACTTCCTGGCAGCCAGCAATCTGGGCCGAGCGAGCAGCCGTCGTCGGACCAACAGCCCCCGCCGAGCCAACCGCCCCCGTCGAAGGGAAAGGAGAAAGCTAGCTCTTCTTCCCACGTTCTGAGGAGCAAGAAGACGAAGGGCCCTTCGGGGTCAGAGACGGACCTTGTGCGGAAAAAGAGGCGCAAGGAAAAAATGCCGGTGGTAGAAATGTGGACGCCGACGGTCCCTATTCCTGACGTCGACATTCCGCTAGCGCTGAGAGAGCGCGTGCTTATTCTGGGGGCTAAAATTATAGGCCCCAAGTTCCAAGTCCCGGACATATCTGATGCCGACATTGGGGCGATGCTGAAACTTTCTCCTCGCTTCTCCCTTGTTTTCCAGGCTCTTTATGAGTCTTTCCTTGAGCCACACTGGGTTGTTGCCGCCAAATCTTCCTTGGTCGACCGTCAGCGAAAACAGATTTCCTTCTAAATCCACGTAAGATTTTGTTGAGATGGATTGTATTGTCATACAACCCTCTCCCACTCATTATTTTGCAAATATGTATTTTGTTTGAAAAAACATCTCATGGTTTTCAAATCGAAAAATAAACAATTTATTTTTCGGATATGTGAAATTCTAAAATTTAACTCTTAAATTCAATTTCACATATAACATTATTTTGCAAATCAATTTTGCAACCTAAATCAATTTAATCATATTAAATCAATTTTAGCGCATGGTTCTTATTTTATTTTATTTTTCTAAAACACTTTTATACTAAATAAAATAAACAATAACTAATGCGCGTATATGCATGGCATGTTATAAAACATATGAGTAGGCACATTATATCTATATGGCATGTTATATGCATGAACATATAATATATATAATTATCAACATAAAATATAAATATATGCAATCAGCTATTGAGATGGATTTGACCGGGTCGCATGGAAAAATAAATTACAACTCAATCGAATCGAATAAATAAATAATTACAATAATTATATTCTTCTGTTACATCAACGGGTCTTCGATTCTTGAGGTCTTTATTCTTCGGCTTCATTCTTTGTCTTCGGGATGGATTTCACCTTTCTTGAGGTCCGAAACTTTTCCGGGTCCGTCGGCACGCATTACGAGGGTTTTGGAAACATTCGGGGCCGTTCGGGATCAAATCCTGAAACTTGGGCCGCCAGCCGCGCGCGCAAGATGCCTGCATGCTGTGCGCGGGCGCGCAGATTGTCCACATTGGGGCGCGCGTCCGCGTGGACTGTCCGCATTTTGCTGAAGGGAAGACTGAGGGGAAGAGGGAAGCTGAGGCAGAAGCTGCATTTGCTTTCGACGCCAGGCACGCTGAGATTATTTAGGAGTTCAAGGCTTCTCAGGAGCTCACTGACATCCGCACCAATTCAAATTTAAATAATCACATTATTTAAATAATAATTAATTCTCAATTAATTATTTTTTGAGTATTCAATTTTTAGAATTCTGTAATTCTAAAATTCCCATTTTACCCTTTGTGTCTGGTAGAATTACAAGGACGACGCGGGGACTAATGGACCTATAATCCCGAGCTCCAATAAAATTAATAATTAATTAAACACTTTAATTAATTAATTAATT